TACATACCGTTACTCTCTATCTTTGACTTTTCTTAAAAGCATAGCATAATTGTGAATATTGACTCAAGAGCTCCTTCTGTGTGTATTAAAAACTACAATTAATGACTAATGTTGCTGAGAAATGATTCATAGTCTAGTAAACCACCACAATGCAGAGATAATTATTAAATAAATATTTTTTTGCAATTATTTAAATGAGGTACGATTAAACTGGAACTGATGCTGATTGTGTTACTCTTGAATGGAATATAATTAGCTACAACTATTGTTTCATTTCATAGACTCAAATCAGTCTTATCTCTGCTCTCATTATTGTCAACATAATCTGCTTTCTGACAGAACTCCGGCTGGTTTGACTTGCTGTAGTTTAACAAATATTAACGTTGTGTTGTGTGTTTGCTCAGTCCGGCTTTAGTCTTTGCCAATAAGTGGCGATTACAACCAACAGTTTATTCAGATTAAGACACAAAGCTACAGAAAATGAGTGACCTTTCAGAAGGACTTTTAGAAGCCACAGAGCATACAGTACAGCCACACAGTCGATTAACTCTCTTTTTTTTCGGTGAGTGAAGCAAATCTTCCAGCCACTTGCATATTTTACCAGCATTTGACTGGTGGCCGGTGCTACTTTTGTGCCCTGCTTCCACATGTACAGTACAATGCCACGAGAAACAAGTATGTATAGTACAATATCACTACTTAACTTTCTCACCAGCTCTTAGTGTCATATCCAGCACTTTTTTAATTTGTTTGGGAGATTAAACTTTATCAGGTATATTAATTCATTTAACAGGACAAATGTACCTTTACAGAAAGAAACAGGTAGGGCTGAAAGACGTTTAAAAATTCCATTTTGAAAAAGAGCAATTTTCAAATCACAACAGCTGAAGTTTTAATTATAACTTGCATAATAAAAGGTATTATCCACAGCACACATTTTGACATGTCACAGTAGGAAAAGCACAGGTGTAAACAATCCAACGAATGACGGCTGAATTCCATTTCACTGTGCCTTTTCAGGGTCTAGCTCACTGTCCGACGGTCATGGCTTACTGGAACGCTTGAACAGAACAAGACATAATGTTATTATTAACACTGCACTTTTTCTACTGTGACCATTCAAAATGTCTGTTTAAAAAGGTCCACCTATCATCAGCAGGAAATGTGCTCAGTTGCAGCTAATAGTCCAACTACATGACGTAGTCAAGTCATGACTATATTTGAACATTACAGAGAAACTAATATAGCTTACTAAACATGAGCTACACTGGATGATTTTCCTAATACAAAAGTCACTCATTTACTTATAAGTGGAACCAAGTGCATAATTGTGTCTGGTTGATCTCATGTTGAAGGTCAGGTTCAAGGTCAATTTATGACCATGCTTGTAAAAAGATATTTTATTTTATACTAGACCACAGAAACGGCCATAAGGACTGCAACCTAAACAGCAACTTAAAAATGTGAGGTTTTCTTCAAAGGATTCAGCCACAGAAAAATACCTACAATATACTTATTACTGTGTGGAGTGTGATGTTGAGATACAAATACGGGCTGTTTTTGGTTCACTTCTGTGCTAAGGTGACAAGAGCAGAGTCCAAAATAGACTGCGAGGGAGGCAGAAGGCAGGGAGATACAAACACATTTGCACACACAAGAGGGAGTGAAGCAGCTGGCAGATATTGACCTATTCGGGGTTAAGTGGAGGTCAAGACAAACAGACACACACTGTCTTCCCATAGAGTCTGTGTGATTTTATATACACCTCCCACACATATATGCATACACACACATTTCAGAAGCACTTGCAATGATTATTCACAATTTATTGCCAAACAACTTCCAATAGTCATTACATCACCCAAAGCTGACCACTATCTCTCTGTTGTTTTCTAAGTGTAGGTAAAGTAAGCTGATGACAGAATACAAAGATACCAATAATTCAGTTACCATTACGAAAGTGGTGATGGGTAAAGTCCCGCTTGACCCTGTGTGCAGTGCTTGTTCACTTCACTTCAGGCGGCAGTAGCTCAGTGTG